AAAAAAGGAAGAAAAAAAAAAAAAAAAAAAAAAAAAAAAAAAAAAAAAAAACAGCCCCTCCCGTGAAACTCCAGATGGAGTCTGCAAAGATGACAGCTCTTAGCACATGCTTCTAATTATCAGTGATACAGTGAAAGCTCTGGGAGCAAATCCTTTCCATTTCCACCAGCAAGCTGAACCTAGAAGCTCCCGTCTGTGTCAGATCTCTCCTCTCCTCTCTTCTCCTCTCTGAGGTGGGTCTTCCTAGGCCAGGACATATTCCAGCAGCAAGGGCCCATTCTGGAGTTCTAGAGGCACCATACTCAGGCTGACAAGTCACAATTCAGAACCAACCCACCAACGCTCCCCTGCCCCCAAAGAGCATATGTTCATGGAGAAGCTGCGCTGAGGCCCACCGACCCCATGTGAGAGAGGCCCAGGCCTATTCCAGAGCCTGCCTGTGGGTATCTGTCTGCCCGTGTGCCCGTGCAAGGGACCGTCTATCTGTATGTCTACTGCTCCAGTGTGCGCACATGCGTGCACACACACGTGCACTCACACACACACACACAACCATGCACAGAGCAATCCATCTGTCTCAGAGAGCTGGCTGTCAGAAAAGAAAGTACAATCTCCTGGAACTGAGTCCCAGTCTTCTAAAAATGTGCCGTTTTCCCAGACTGGGGAAACTTGCAGGGGTGGGATATGTTCACTGCGAGTCCCGAAGGCCTGGGCCTGTCACCGGCCAGCCCCACGCTGCAAGGCTGGAATTCTGACCTGCAGCCAGCAGGCCAGCTCCCAGGGCTTCTGCCGCCCACTCCCCTTCCTCGCAGGAAAGGGAAGGGCCAGCCTTGGAGTCACCCTGCATTTCAGGAGGGGGCATGCCTTTGAGCACACCCCCACCCCCACAGCCAAGGCCCCACATTTTCACATTCGGCTGTTTTTTCTTTCCCTTCTTCCCGTGCCAAGAGAATCAAGCCCTGGCTCCCGCTGCCGACCTGCCTCCCACCCTAAACTGAGCCCCATTCATTAAGGCCGCTCTCAGCCAGGGCAGGACAGGAAGGAAAACAGCACACAGGGCCTGTGAAAGAGACACTCAGAGAGGTTATTTCAAGGCAGAGGAGGAGAAGGAGGGGGCAAATCCTTGTGGGTGCTTTCACTGCTCCCCACCTTGAGCCCACTTGCCCCCCATCCCCAAAGCAGGCTCTCACCCTCCAGCCTCTGCTAACCCCTTTCCCTACCCAGCAGGGCCCCCCTGCAGAGCCCTGCAGCCACAGCAGCCCCCAGTGGCCTCATCCTCTGCAAGGCGGACACACCCAGGCCACCCCCCCATTGGAAAGATCAACTTCTTGGAGAGGAGGAGGTTTGGGCTGTCTCCATTTACAAAACCCTCTGCCCTGGAGCCTGGCCACTACAATCATCTTTTGGGGGGCACTCTCGCTGCAAAGGGCGTAACCCTGGGTTTTCTCCATGCCCATCGCTTCCCCTGCAGACACCCCCATACCACTGGCACCAACCCAGAACACAACTTCTTCAATTTCCCCCCACAGCACATTATTAATAAACTGGTCCAACTCCGAACGGAAAGAAGAAAGAGCTCAAACTTTGAAGCCTTGGGAATTAGTAAATCAAGAGCTAAAATTCAAAACAAATGCTCTTTCATGTTGAGCCCCCCTCCCTTTTTTTTTTCTTTTTGCAGTTTTGTTAAACCACGAGATCCCTTCAGAGGCAAGCACGCCTTCCTAGCAGCTCCTTGTTAATCTAAATGGTTGCAATTACTTTTGGGGGTGTGGGGGAGGATTAATAACTGTTTTACCCCCAGTTTCCTTCTAGAACTGGAAAAGTTTTTGGAACATAAAGCCCACCCATCTCAGAAGGGGCTGCGTGGGGTATGCTGTTTAGTGGGTCACACTGCTCAGCTTCTGGGGCACACAGGGAGGCACTCAAGTCTGGCGGCTCAGCCTGGTGTCGTCACTTCCTCCAGCAGAGGAGGCAGACAAGATGTTATCAATAAGACAAACCTTCCAAAGAGCCCCCTTTCAAAAGCTACCACTTCCCTTGCTTATTTCATGTGGTTCAGAGGGGCTGGGGTGCCTCCCTGCACATTCAGGATTTAAAAAATAAAACCATCTAACAACATCCTGAGTGTTATTCTGCCCAGACCCTTTCCTCTCCCCGGCCTTTCTTTCAGGAACTCTCTCAGCCTTAGAAAGCAGAAAAGCAGCAGTTCGCCTGTTGCTGCATGTCCTCTCCTTTCTTGCCCGCTCTGGTTCACTCCCACCCTCAAGGCCCAAGCCCCCTTCCCTCTCTCTCTGGGTCCCTCTTTTTCCTGCTCAGTTCTCATTAGGAGCTTTGAGTAAACAATACCCTCTGTCTCAGATAACACTCAGAGTATATACTGCATAGAAATAAAAACAAACAAGTTCCCCCTAAAGACATTCTCAGCAAGCTCAGTTCCTGGAGAGGAGAGCCTGGGAGGGGACTGGCCAGGATGACCTGAGCCTGAGCAACGCTTGACCAATTAGTCCCCTCACAGAAGAAGATGCGCCACAGTCTCCCCACAAAGACAGTTTTACAGCTTCCATCTGAGCCGCCACAGGCTGGGCCTACACCAACGTCCCAAACAAAAGCAAGAAATGACAAATGCCCAGGCTCTGCTTGAATTTCCCCCCCACTCCAGGTTCCTTCCCTCTTGCTTTAGAGCTAGTTCTTAGAAAACCCAGTGATGGCAAAGACTGGGGTGGGAAAGGCAGGTGGAAGCAGGGTGTCTTTTGAAAAGAAAGTCAATGCCTCCCAGTTACATTACTAATGAGTTTCTCCAAGTTTATCACAATCTTCTCCTGTCCCTCAGGGACAATGATGCTGAGGTTACCCAATGCCCCCCCCTCCAATTACATAACCCCCCAGCTCTAAGGAAACCCTTCCTCCTGGGTGGCAGCATTAGCACCTAAGTCTGCAGTGCGCAGACCCTGTAGCCAGAGCATCCTGCCCTAAGCTGGATTGGGAATCAGGACTTGGAGAAGCACCAAGGACATCTACTCCGAACGCCCATCCACTTGGGATCTGTCCTTGACAAGTTCCAGAAAAGTGGATCCATCCCCTTCAAGGCACCCCACGCACAAAGGGCAAGAGAACAACAAGAGCTGAAACCTCTGAGCTAATGACACCAAAGCCACCAAATGGAATCCCCTCAAGCCAGGAGCCGCTTAACAACCACCATGAAACACAGCACAACACCAGTCCCAAGGTGGACCCCATTTCCGCATTTATGGAGCGGGCCAGTGTCCTAATGTGTAAGGGACTTCAGAACGATGAGCCGAAGGGCCCCAGAGTCACCTAGATTGCATCCAGTTTAATGCACAGAAAAGTGAGAATTCCAGACCAGCTGGGGTAACAGAAGGCCGGCCAGCCCCCTTCCTTGTCTCCAGTAATTTCAAGGTCTTGCAATTGCCAAGAAAATCTGAGCAAGCGTCTTACCTGAAAGCCCCCCAGGGGCCAGATAATTCGTTCCCCCTGTTTCAGCGGAGGAAGGCACAGCATCTGGACAGTCTGCTGTGGATTTGAAAAGGGGAGAGAAATACACAAGTAAATAAATAAAAACACCAAGATTAATTTTTAAGCACATTCTAAACAGCATTAAAGAGAAACCACACATTCCAAACAGCTGACTTCCAGCCACGAGGCTGATTATGAATGGGCTGCTCAGGGCTCGCTGCCCATCATAAGACACCACAGCACCTTGTCACTCGTCTGGGCTCCAGGAGGCCAGTTAATCATTAGTCAAGTCAGACTCGATCACAGACTGGCTGGAATTTCTCTTTTATTGCAAGGCCTCCATTGAGGAAACCAGGTAGTTCCCAAGGTCAAGGGAGGCCCAGGTTCTGACTCTCAACCCTGGCATCCGTCTCCCAGCCATGGCTCCCAGAGCATCCTTGCTTGGATCCAGTGGCCTCTCTGCCACTCCCGTGGACCAGTGTCTCACCCTCATCTTTTTAAAAACAGACTTAGCAGTTCTTTAAGACTTTTTCAAGACAGGTGTTGGGATAAAGGGACTTCTTTTTTCCTTTTTCATTGAGATATAGTAAGTATAAGGAAGCATACACACCTCAAGTACAAGTCAACAAACTGTACTCATGTATCCACCTGTGTAGAGCCACTACCAGATCAAGACAGAGAACATTCCCTGCAAGACTCCTAGCTGGAGGGCAAATGTTCTACCTGCTTCCAGGCCTATTCCAAACGCCCCATCTCTGGAAACCTTCCCGGGCAACCCCGGACCTGCAAGGCTCCCTTGCCTTCGATTCCTGTAACATCTTTCTGGCACCCAGCCCTTGGGAGTTTCCTTCTGCTATCTTCACCTGACCCCTTTACCTTCAGACCCCGGCTGTCCTAACTACACTAAAAGCTTCTCTTTACGTCTCTGTAACCCTCCAGTACTACGCACAGTGACCTGAAAGTTAATGAGGATAACGACAAATCTAGCTGAGAAATAAGACAGACTTGACAACCTCCCTCCAAGCAATTAAAACAAAAAAATAATGCCCATGAACCAGAACTAATTAGTCCCAGGAAATAAAAATACACAAGACCTTGTCTTACTGAAATCCACAGAGAAAGGCTGGTTCAGACAAGGTGCTTCCAGGCTCTGAGGCAAACACAGCACCAGGGTGAAGGGGGCAAATTCCAGTCTCCAGCCCCTGGCCACTAGCAGGATGTACCTGGGTGTGCATTACCAGCTTCCCACTGGAACCACTTGGCCAATAGGAAACCAGGCAAAAGAGCAGTCCAGGGGCCAGTAGCCCAGGGGAGCCTTTCACTAGCCCAGCAGCTATTTCCATTACCTGATAAAGGAGGTGAGGGGCCTACAGGTAACCCCAAAGCCCCTCTGGATTTCTGCTGCCTGCCTCCTCAGCTCTCTCTAACTCCTCTCCAGCACTCTCTCTTGGGCTGGAAAAACAACTTTTCAAGAACTCCCTTAACCAGGTGAGGGGGAAGCAGAAGAGTGGCAGCAGGCAAGGAAGAGAAAAAAAGACTGTGTATGATCTCATTTTACCAGCATAAAGTATAATTCCTCACAGGAATATACAGTTTTACAGGATACACTTAATGAAATGGAAAACAATAGGGGAGGACAGGAAACGGAGTTGCTTGTTAAATGGTGTATACCCTGCACTTTCTAAACTACTTTGATGGCCTTCACATGTTCTATAGATAGGCTGTTACCTACCCCAAAAGGGAGACACCCCCACATTAAACATGATGACTTGTCCAGGGCCGCTCCATTCCCCCCACCCGGCTTTGGCTGGCTGAATCCCAGGGCAAGGTGTGTTTCAAAGGAAGGGCCCGGGCCGGCATCTCAGGGCAGAGCTGGGACCACATTCAGGGTGTCGGCCTGTCTCAGATCAAAGGTAAGCCAGCTCCGCACTGGCAACCACAAGCGTTTTTATGAAATGGTGCTCTGCCCTTCTGCAGAGTCTTTGATCTCAGGAGGGATTTACAAACATTAATTAGGCCTCCCTACCACCCCTGTGAAGCAGCAAAGTAGACCTGTTCGACTGGCACCCAGGTAAACTGAGGTGTCATTGACTAGCCCAAGGGACCACCCGGTGAGCTGGGCCATACCCAAGGGTTCAGCACCTGTCCCACACCTCTCTCTCCCCAGGCCACCAGGGTCCTCGCTCCCTTCTACAGCAGGTAGTCAAGCTGAGCTGTCTTCAGCATCCAGACTGGCCTTAAGCTACTGTCAGGCTTGTAAAGTAAGGTCAAGGCAGCCACACCTCCATCGCTCAGCCAGAGCAAAGCTCTGTGAGACTGAGCTCTAAAGCGAGGGTCTCAGCTTCTGCCCGTGTTGCCCACTCCCCAGGGCCCAGGCTGGCACACACTCAGGAGCCTAACCATTACCAAGCACCAGTAAGTGCTGGGTGCTGTGGGAAACTCATTTCCCTCTCCCAGCAGCAAGAGTCCTAGGAGATGCAAACCTGGGGAGCAGACAAAGAATGAGCTGTTGAGAGGCGTACAAGGTGAAGAGGCTGTGGTCCCACTTCCCTCACCAAAAGAATGGTTCCTGAAGAGCCAGGATAGTCTTGTCAACTTAGTTCTGAGCTTCCTAAGTACTGCCCAGGGCACAGGAGCCGCCACCACCACCACCACTCAACACTAAGTGTCCCAGTTCTGCACCAATCCATAACCCTGGTCACAGAAGGACAATCTACTGCATTGAAATCATCACATTTTTTAGGCAGGCACATCACCAGGAATGCAGAATGAATGAGTGAACCAAAAAAATGAGGGAATGAATGATTCACCAATCTAACTCTTGGATCATCTGGATTTATAGAGAGGCCTGGAAAAGTTAAGAGTAGCCTGAGTAAGCAAGTAAAGGCAGGCTAGGTCCTAGACTTCTCAACCAGACTTTGGAAGTTCCATCTGCCAATGGACACTGGCCACCTGGGTCCCCAGCCTAAGCAGACACATTGCACCCAGCAACAACCACCCACCCCCAGCAGCCATTCTTCAAACCTTTCAGATCATGGCTACTGAGGACACAAGGAGCAGAGCCTACAGAGTAATCCCCCAGCTCTCTGCACTCCATAAAGTGAGATCTAATCTCAAGCACCATGCTCTTAAACCTTGTGCGATGGGGGCAGGGAGAGGATCTTCATAATTTCTGACTGCCACAAGGCACAGCCACCCTGCCCCTAGGTCAGCCATGTCTAACGCTCATTCTCAGAAAATGCTGCTGGCTTGGGACCACCTAGCACCCAGGTCTACAAAGGTCAGGCCCTCACAGAGGATACAGTGCAATGTCTTGAACCATAGCAAAACAGAGCTTGGCTTTTAGCCTTGAGTCCCTCCAGAGGCCCAGCCCCCTTCCCAAGCTGGAGACTTCACAGAAAGGATTCCCTTAGTGGTGCAAATGGTTAAGATTTTAACAGTTGTCCATTGTAAAAACCTTATGACTGGTTCTCACCTAGTAACCCAAGACCAAAATTTCCACCCAGGGCTTAGAAACTAAAGAATGTAAGCTGCAGATCTAAATTACTCTTCTCCCACATAAAGGTGAAGAGGAAAACCTGGGGCAGCATCCCATCTGTGTATCTGACCTCATGGCCCCCCGGCCACAGCAGCCAGCAAAACCAGCCCCAGACTTGGGGC